ACGCTGTGATATTTGAGAATCACCATATGAGTGCAGGGCTGCCCTGAAAGTGACCTAAAGCATAGGCAAAATATTGCTCTTTGTCTGGAGAACTTTTATGCCCATATCTTATACTCTGAGTAACTACTTTGAAGATAACACTATGCCATATATTAACTATTGTTATTCTCCTATTTTATTTTGAAATTTTGTTTCATTTTTTCCATAAAAAAGTAAAATCATATTTTCTAAAAGTTTAAATATTTTACATGGCACCCATTCAAAAACTTGGCTTTGGGCATGTATGCACATTAAATGTATCACTCATTTTATAAAAGTTTTCGACCTGTGTTTAATTTTCCATAGACTTCCCACTCTATAGAGTGAGATTTATAAACCTGGCTTCAAGCAAATCCCTCAGGAAGGAAATCCAGCCTGTGCTTTTGACTGTACCTCTTGCCCAGAGAATAAGATTTCCAGTCAGAGAGGTAAATGTATGCCATATGTGCCCATTCCTTTTGTATGTTGTCCCATCCATCATGGAAATGGAAAACACTTCAAAGAGAAGAGCAACCTTAGCATTCTTTTTTTATTCCAGTTGGCAATTTAATTGTATTCAGTATACTTCCTGGAAGTGAAAGGGATTTTTGCTGAGGACCTGTGCAAGGTTATCCTTGCATTCTCATTGAGAGTAACATTACAGGAACTTATGAAGTGCAACTGCAATGTGATTCATCTTATTTATTGGCCAACCAGGTTCCAGTAAACCAAAGATGAGTATTGTGTATGTTCGCGTGGGCATGTTCTTGTGACTGTTTTTGGAAGTGTGTGTATTTGTGTTGGGGACTATGCTTTTTATGGGCTTCTTTTTTGACTACTCTGTCATTGCAGGTCCTTTGATGTGGTCCTTTGGGAAATCACCAGCTTGGTAGAACAGCTTTACCAAAGCCTGTCTAATTTTCCATGGATGGAGGGAATCTGGACCACCCCCACAATTTTCCAGAGAGAGTGTAGGTGCAGAAAGGTCATGTGGTGTGCAAGGTGTTCCTTAGAAAGGCCTTGCCCTTTGCAAGTTTACTTCTGTTTGAGTACCACATGTCTACATCCATGGTTGTGCTTGCAAGCCATAAGCCTACTATATTTGTCTGAACAGGGTGTCTTTAGGACAACCCTGTTTTGCATATCACATATTACATGGAATTTATGCTTATGTATTGCAGTTTGCACTCACACAGATGTCTGAACATGTGCTTGCTTCTGTTTGCATAGTATACTTACACATGTGTCACGTTTGCATGACATATCTATGTGTGGCCATGGGTGTTCACAATGATATTTATAAGCACACTGTGTTTGTAGTCATGCCTCCATGTGTGCTTGCATTCACAGCCATAACTTCTCCATGCACACATGTACTTCTATTATAACAAAGCAACTTGCACACTTTGAAAGCTTAAAACTGCACATCACCTCTTCCTTTCTGGGAAAAACAAAACACAATTTAAAAATAAGCCAACAAAATTACAACAGAGAATATCAGTTCCAATGAGACTCTACAGGTTCTGCTGATTCTCCCATTGAGTGGCAGGGCTCACATCATCATTAGGAGAGAATGTTACTTTAAAAGTGTCATCCTAAACTGCAAGGATATCTGTTAACATCACAAGTAAACATGCCAAATGAGAAACCATGTTGTCAAACGCCCGCTTAACCCTCCCAAACATCTCAGACCCACCCTTTGCTGACTTTCTATTCCCCATTTTTAAAAGTTGTTTATATCTCTTTTTAAAGAAGACAAAGTAGACAGGTACATGTTGGTAAATGCTAACTGTCCCTATTCACATAGAGACACAATGTAATCTCTGAGCCCAAATACAGAGAAAGGATGAAAAAACTAGAATTCTATGCACTACTGCACAGGGCCCGAACACCCTCCAGCTTCCAGCAGAGCTAAGGAAGCGGAGCGTTTTCTTTTCTCCTACAGATCACAGTGGTGCTGATTCCACAGTTTGTGTGGAGACAGGAGGGGACCAAAATGAGTTTAGAACAGAAAGTTGTGGAGACTCTTTTCCCACTGCATTCTGCTCAGGGCTTCTCCCCACACTACGTCGAGAACCATGGTGTTTGAGAAGAGAGACTTCAAGAGCAGGGCGACTAGCACAAGCGCGGGGGAAGACTGCAGCTTGCTCCCAGGGACTTGAGAAGCTTCTTCAAACGAAAGGAAAACCAGGAATGGTGGAATCCGTCAGTGTTCAGTGAGCCGCCTTCGCCTTCATCCTCCCCTCCTTCCTCCCTTCATCCTCGTCTCCATCCCCTTCACCTTCATCCTCACCCCCTTCTCCATCGACCCCTTCCAACCCTTCTTCTTCTTCATCACCACCATCCTCTTCTCCTTCGCCCTCCTCGTCATCCACCTGAGGAACTGAGTAGCACCGCAATGGACCTGGCCGAATGGCATCTTTGCTGAGCTCTCCTGACTCATCGGAACGCTCTGGAGACCAGGTGAAGAAGCTCTCGGCTCCCCCTGCTGCCTCTGCCTGCTTGCTTCATTCTGCGCTTGACTCGAGCATTTCGCCAAATCCTTCCCAGATTCCCATTTGACTTCGGTGGACTTTGAAGAGAGATCACCACTCTCATTCAGAAGAAGTTCTTGGGAGAGAACTTTACTTTCCAAGTAAGGATTTTCATCAAAATGAAGGTCTCTCCTGTAACCTGACTTTGTATCTTCAAATTCTGTCCCTTCGACTCTGGCCAATTAACGCAAGGCTTCCTCGTCTCCCTCCGCAAGCAGTGCAGGCACCTGTGGACGGTTAACGAATGTACTTTTCCCAAAATTTGGGATTTGGGCCATCGATTCCGACCTCTTCGGAAAACATGGTTGGCGGAGTTTGTTGTATTTCTGCTCTACTTTCAGTATCTCCCGCTGGCCTGTTCATTCAGTCCGTCTGTTCCATTCGGAACTTCATCAGTGTGCTCCATTGCTTCTTGTTCCTTTTCTGAGGCCCAGTGGCCCGGTCCTGGTCGGACCTGAGCTCCTTTTCACTGTTTGGCCGCTGGCGCCAACACGGTGCTGCTGCTCCCCGGCCCGGAGAGCGGGGAGGCGGAGAGGAGGGAAGGCGCGAAGTGGAGGGCGGCTGGGCGCTGCGGCCTCCTCCATCTGGCTCGCGCTCCCTCTCCCTCGCGCTCCTGTTCTCTCCGCCCTCCAGGCCAGAGGACCACGGAGGGGCGGGTGTCCTGCGGAGCCGCTGGGCCAGGCTCCTCCCTGCTTAGGGAAGGCTGTGGCAGGCAGGCGGTTGGGCTGCCTCCTCCCCTGTCATATCCTTGCAAGGACATTTAGCTTTGCATATCCTCTGTCTCACCTGTATGCATAGCATCTCCGTACGTGTGCATATGTGCTTGCCTTTGCATATCATAAGTCTATACTCATGCATGTGTCTCCACATGATTATGTGTATGTGTTGGGGTTTGGTTTGGTTTGGTTTTGGGCGGGG